AAAATGTTGCCTGGTCTGTTGAGTCTGAATTTCTGTTGAGACATTCAGATGGTAGAGTCAGAATTTGGCGTAAACAGAATGAGAACATGGATCCATCATGCCTTGTTACCACTGTGCAGGCTGCTGGTGGTGGTGTAATGGTGTGGGGGATGTTTTCTTGGCACACTTTAGGCCCCTTAGTGCCGACTGGGCATGGTTTACATGCCACAGGCTACCTGAGTATTGTTTCTGACCATGTCCATCTCTTCATGACCACCATGTACCCATCCTCAGATGGCTACTTCCAGCAGGATAATGCACCATGTCATAAAGCTCCAATCATTTCAACTTGACAATGAGTTCACTGTACAACAATGGCCCCCACAGTCACCAGATCTCAACCCAATAGAGCATCTTTGGGATGTGGTGAAACGGGAGCTTCGTGCCCTGGATGTGCATCCCACAAATCTCCATCAACTGCAAGATGCTATCCTATCAATATGGGCCAACATTTCTACAGAATGCTTTCAGCACCTTGTTGAATCAATGCCACGTAGAATTAAGGCAGTTCTGAAGATGAAAGGGTGTCAAACACCGTATTAGTATGGTGTTCATAACAATTCTTTAGGTAAGTGAATGTCACACATTACGGTCGGGGGTGGATAGCATCAGTTTGGTCTCATACGGTCGGTGTAATGTTCACATGCAATTTCGAAGGAGTTCTCAGAAATACACGAGCATGCGGGCGGAGTTTAAGACGTGCAGGAAAGTCCGTGGTGTCCTCCTTATTAGGATAAACATAGGTGGCCGTGAGCTGTGTTGCTTTTGGAGACTCTAAACCACATTATTGTATTATTTGCTCCCTGTCTTCTCACTGCCATGCATGTCCTCAAACTCCGCTCACACGCACACAAACACACTCACTGATCTTTCCTCCCATTGAGCAGCTGGGGTGAGAGCTCCGTGCAGAGATGTTAAATCAGCATTATCAACAGGAACCCCCGCTGGCTGATTCTACTCCCCAATCGGAGGTGGTAGGCATGAATTTCTGCCGGCCAATCAGTCCTTAGTGTCTCCTCAGTCCCAGTAGGAACTCCGAGAAAGTTGTCTGGAAAAAAGTCACCTATCTGGCATATCTGACCCAGGTGTGAAACTAAACTCCAGTGCCGTACCCGGCCCTGATGTGTAAGCACCATTAGCCAAAGGTGAGGCTAATGCTAGCTTCTTCCTTTTTTTCTGGTGGAACTTTATTTTTTGAGCCATCATGTTTTTCTGTGGTTCTAGTAATTCATTGTAATGGATCAAAGGTCAAATTTACTTCTAAAAATTGACCAAAAAGTAACTTAATTTGCAAACCAGAAAGCTCTTCACCAGACCTTGTTACCGTACAAAGAAGACATAACAGTTTCAGCCAAGGTCTCATGCAGACGCGAGACTTCTGCACGTTCACTCTGAATAATGTTCATCCTCCTTGAATTATGAATGAGTTTACAACTTATAGGTTGAAATAATCAGGTGTGTTGAATGAACAAGATGTTTAAATCCTAAAATGTTTGAATAATCTGTACATTAATCAATGATGTGTTTAAAATGAATATTTTCCCTCCAATGATCCATTTCAGACAATAAACTACACAGTGACCAGATCAGTATGTATTGATTTAACAAGTTAATCTATTATTATTAATGTTTACCATTTTGCTTCACATAGCTGTTAAAAACATTTCCACTTCAGAAAGGTTTAACCTCTCTTTGTATCTGAGGGAAGGAGTGAATGCTGAGGTATTTTTGGTAATGCCTTCAAATGTGTCCATTTCTGATTTGTACAGGTTTATAAATCAGGCAGGTGATAAAACAGAATTGTTTCCGGATCTAATTCAGTTTCTAGCTGACTCCCGGTTTGGCCAAACCGGTGAGCAAGCCTTTTGAGACCATCCTATCTTTTGACCTCAAAGTCTAACCCCTCTATCCCCTCGTTTCCACCGGAGCCGTGACGGAGCCGTCAGCAGCACGTTGCTGCAGCAGCACGTCATAGCTGCTGATAGGAACCGCTGTGGTCAACAGAACTTTTTCCACCGGAGCCGTCAGCAGCGCGAGTCGGCCGCGTCTCAGGAGCAGCATGTCGCGGTCCTTACGTGCCGGTTCTATTTTCTATGCGCTACGCCTCTGAAACGGGTCAAGCTCGACATTTTTGGGGAAGGAAAGACAGGAAATCGGATGCGGAAACGGAGCCAAGCTTCCCGAGATTTTCAGAATAAAGAAACATACTGTCTTCCGGTTGCTTTACTTTTAAGAAAAGTTATCACCTAGCTAGCGGTCTCCTTTGTTTATTTTTATTTTTTGTATTGGCGATTATAAAATGGACAGAACATAAAACACAAACCTTTTGGAACCATATTGTAGTTTTCTCCTGCTTGTTGTTGTGTTTACTGACGAAGTCACGCGTGATTTTGCTAATGTCGCGTGACTTTGTGCTCTGTCGGTGACAGCTTCTCCCCTGCTGCTTCGCGTCTCGTGGGAAGGGCCAAGCAGCTATCCTAGTGAACTAGACCAAATTCTTGCTTTGCAAAGTTTAGTCAAGGCACGCTCCATTGGAACCTCAGCAGCTCCTACCAGGACTCTGGCTAGCCGATCACAGCTCTCTAGAGGTGTTTCAAACACATAAAGAGCTGTGATTGGTCCATAATGGTGGGCCAATCTTAGTGCTCTGTCTGCTTAGTGAACAAATCACAGAGCTTTATCCGCTTTGTGGGCGAATCAGGGCACTCTATATGCCTGGTGGGTGGGATGATGCAACAGAGTGAAACAAGAGTATGTCACATTCATTGTCCAGTGGAATGCGGAGATCATTTGAAAGACAACGGTAGAACCCGCCCCACAACCGAGAGCCATCAATGGAGCGTTGCCAGACTAAATAATACATTTATTTAGTCTGGCTTGCCAGGCTACCAAGCAGCAGCTTACGCGAGCAAGACGTGCTGCTGCAGTAACTTGCTGCTGACGGCTCCGGTGGAAAGGAGGGGTGAGCTTCTCTGCAACGCTTGCGAGTGATTACAGACACAACGGCTCTTTTAAGAGCCACTCCACACAGACAGACATCTAACCTGCAGACCCTGGTTACGTCTCAGGTCGGTGAAAGCTGAATTCAACAGGAGCTACGACTCTTTGGGTTCTCGTGGTTTCGATATCTGGTGACCTCACCACTCGGGCCGCCTTTCCTTCGGACCGCCGGGAGTGACACATACAAGGGAATCGTAGACACTGGCATCGGATGGCGTTATAAATAAAGTTTCGCCTATCAAACCATACAGCCAAATCGATTTTACAACCCAGACTCCACAGTCTCTCTCAGTTACTTAAGAAAGGTTTTGCTAAAACATCTAGCTTCCATTTCATCCATTATATTCCATCATTTCATTCTTGTCTTGTATAATCATTAGTTTAGGAAAATAGGATTAAATTCATTTTTATAAACTATATACTTGACTCTGAATTAATATGAAGTGTGTTTATGGTCCCTGAATAAGTAAAAGAAACTAAAATCCTCTGATTAAACATTCAAAGATCAATCAGATTGATATTTCATATTTATATGGAATTATCACATCTTGTTGGTCATTTGCTACATATGTAGCTACTCCTTAACGCTACATTATGCTCTGAAAAAAAACTAATGGAAATTTCTCTCTGCTGTCATAGAAATGATTTGAATAATGCTTAGCCAATTTCTCCTGAACAAGATGACTTTTGTGTCTTTCAGATGAACACATTTTTATTTTTTCCACACCCTGATGGCATTGAGAAAGTTCAATAGATTTTTTTGTTGTGTAATTAGCATTTAGTTTTATGGGCACACATATCTAAATATTGAAAGGCAGCATGTCTAATGAGAACTGTCCTAGGCCCAAAGGGGGACCTTGGGGAACTCCACATAAAAGTGAAACTGAAAAACTTGTCAAATGTAGTTTAAACCAGTTCCTCTATTTCCTCTAGCACTATTCAAGCTGAATTTAAAGGCAGGATTCAGGTTGATAAGCTCATTTCAAGAAGAAAAAATACTTTTAACCAATTTGAATTAAATCTTGGATGTCACTGATTTAGTGCTCAATGCGGTTGTTCATGTGCAGTTTTCAACTAATTTGTAAGAAAACTCATTTAAACTTTTATGTGAATTGACAATATCGTCTTAGTGTTTATTAAGCTTGGGCTAAAATCTGCTTTACTGTATTTTCCATGTGCTGTGCTGTTGTGCACCATAGTTGTTGTGATATTTATTCTTGTTCAGCTGGACTTCTCCCTTCTGGCTTCATTTCTTAGTTTAGGAAATGGAAGGTAATCATCTCTGAAGTGCTTTCTCCTACCTCTGCTCACATCATCTTCTAGCAGAAGTATCATCAAGCCCTGTAACTTCATTACTCTGGAAAGGATTGAACCGCTGGCCGGATCTCATGGGACAATGAAGTTAGCTGCCCTAGTTAGCATGTGACCAGTAGGAGGAAGCAGGGCTTGTTATCCAAGTCATTTTTTCCAAGAAGAGGACAAAAATTGTGTGTGGATGTAACGGTGCTTGTCAGGGTTCTGCTGTGGTGAAGCTGCAGTTTTCTATTTCTGGTGTGTATGCTGAAGCAAAGCCTGCAGCTTTCTCCTTGCTTCCTTACCCCCATCCTTCAGGCTGTGGCTTTTGTTATGCCCCTGCCCCTCTGTTTTTACAACAGACGAGCTGCAGGGCGTAGATAAGCTCCTCGACAGCCTGAACAACAGGGAGGCCCGAAGAGGAGTCAATGTCTCGTGTAGTAATGGTTCACGTTTCCCGCTCTTGGGTTAATGGGGTAAAATGTGGCTGATGGGGAGCAAAACAAACTAGAAGCCTAAATATTTAAATCTTGCATCATAGGTGCTTGAGGCTGGGTGGAAAGAGCAAATATAGGACAATAAAGCTGAGCTCTATTGTGAAGTGTTTTTTTTATTTAATAAAGAGATTTTATCACTAACAGTAGCTTCTATTTTTGTTTCTCTTGCAGGTGTAAACAGATAATACCGAAACTCGACCCTCCTCCACCTTCCACGAATCACAAGAGGGCCAGCAGGACATTTTCTCCGGGGTCAGAGGTCACGGCTGCACCCATACCCGCTAACGAGGCAGCCCCGAGCCGCAGCAGCAGCCTCTTCTTCCCGGACTTCACCCCCAGCTCTCTGTCCTACAATGACTTTCACTCCCTCAGCAACGGTGAGAGCAGCTCCTCTTCCTCTAGCGAGGACTCGGGTGTCCGCTCAGAGACCAAATCCCTTCTGTCTCCCCGCCGCGATGACGACGACCTGTTCGGGGATCGCGGGACATTTTTAACAGCCTCTAGCAGCTGTGCAAGTCCCCTGGATGAAAGAGGCGGAGCGGTTCTCTCGTCCTCAGAGACGACTTCTGTCGAACCCAACGCCATAGACTCGCGTACAGACAACTATGATGGCTTGGTGCCCTTCTCCTCACCAATGAACAATACCTGCCTTCACATCAGTCTGTCTGAGGATGAACTTCTAGAGGGAAGCCTGGAGGACACCCAACTACGTTAGGTCTTTTGGACACTTTCTTCATGTTCCTCAACCGAATGGGCAATACCCCACGGAGCCCCGGTTTGACACATCACAACTTTTGAACTAGCCGAATCATTTCCGGGTCATAACGTTATGGCGCTTTCATATCTGGGCCAGCACGGACTCTCAACCGTGAGGATAGATGCAGCTTCAGTCAGAGGCGACGTTGACTTCTTAGTGTCCAGAGTCATAAATAATCACGCATGCAGGAAGCTCCCACTGCTTGATTCCATCCGCCAATCGGAGGCTCCCTCTAACAGTAGGTGTGTATTTGAGCCGGCCAATCAGGTGGTAGTGGGTTTGTTGGACCTGTTCAGCCCAAAGTAGACCTCCTTGGTATGTGGGCCAAAAAACCGACTGGTTGAGCTTGAAAAAATACAAGCTACCTAGATATGAACACTACCCAGTCTTGTCCACGCTGGCCCAGATCTGAAAGCACCATTAATGTTCTCTATAGCATTAGTATGCTATCGCTGCAAGACCTGCAGAGGATAACGATCAACAACGTACGCCGGATAATCTAGGCCATATGAAAGACGCCACAATCAAATATAGACAATGATTTTAAATTGTATGTGTTTACTGACATTCATTACTATTAAGGTAAGTTAACAAGCTTTTGCCTGCAGTTGCTAAATGATACTTGCTAGTTCTCTACTAGCACAGTGAGGAAGCAATGCTAACAAAGTTAGCAGAGTTATCGTTTAAGAAATGAAAAACTTGTTTTGTTAACCTATCTCTCTGGTAACATTGTTAGCATTGCTTCAACACCATGCTAACTTTGGCTAGTAAGGAGCTAGCATCATTTAGCAAGCCAAAGTAGAAGCTTGTTAACTAGGGTGACCATACGTCCTCTTTTCCGCGGACACGTCCACTTTTCACTGTCCGGGGCGTCCAGGCGGGTTTCTTGTATTGATGAAAATGTCCGGTTTTTCATCCAGGAGCAGGGATCAAATTATGGGGGGCTGGATATCCTACACATCCAGGGAGAGCCAGAAAAAAGGTTTCTACCTATGTTGCATCATTTATATGGACTCGGCGTACCGAGGGTTCTTTTGAGCGGAGAGCACCGAGAGCGGCAGAGCGCTGATGGTGCGCTCCGGGCAGCTGCGTCCAGCACACGGTCCATTCTAAAAGTGGCACAGCCAAAAAACGATCAATAACTCATGATCGTTCATGTCGGCACATGTTCTCTACTTTCTGTCTTATTTGTGCCTGAAGCGCTCTGCTACTGCGGAGCTCATCACCTGTGCTGCGGTGATTTCACCTCACTGATGCAGCATCGAAATGCGCACTCCGCTTTGCGGTCAGGAGATCCTTTTGATCTGGTTGGTTCGAAAGTAACTCGTGAGGTGAAAAAGTAAGAATCCAGGCAGCAGTTTTTCTGGATACTTTAGAGGAGATGCAGGAAGATGAGAGACAGACAGGACAGGAAAATATAGTTAAATAAAAACAAGAAAACAACAAAGTGTTGAAAAGTAAAATGTAGGTAGTACACATTTTTACCTGTATAAAACAGTGAGTTATACACATGTAATATTTATACATCTGATACAATTCAGATCACCTTCAAAACTCAGTCACACACCCAGGGCCGTTTCAAGGCATTTCGGGGGCCAAGGCAAAACAGAACACCCCCCCACTCCCATAACTGTGCTCCCCAGAAGCCTCTGTGTAATTCATACCCTCTCCAGTAGTGTTAGTTATACAGTGTTTATAAAAGCCCCTCAGACATTACTGACTTGTTCTAATGTTATCAGATGAAAAACTAAATTATCAGACATGCTGTCTCATCTGCTGCTTTTCTAAACTTGCTAAAAGTAACAAAACCATTTGAAAGCCACTATTTGTGGATTCTCTGAAAGTTTCCATGGAGTGTGTGACAACTTATTTTTTCATTGATCCTATCATCTAATCTCACAGCTGAAACAAGCACCCTTAATAATCTGTGCACAGGAAGTTTACCAATGCTGTAGTAAAACAAAAGGTATAATAATTTATTATTTATTAAACCTTGTTGCAACACTAAAGCAGCAGAAAAAATGAGATTTTGCAATACATATGTAAATTATTTACATATGAATTGTTTTAGAGCCTTTTTGTTGGAAGATTCTGATATTAATTAGCTCTTACCAAAAAATGGGTCTCAGCGTGGTTTGTGTGGCGTTGCCATAGTGAGACGTCATAGGCACAGATCCCCTGTCCTCTTTTATGGAAATGGAAATATGGTCACCCTATGTTAACTTGCCTTCATAATGTGTGCAGGTGGAAAATAGTTGTCTTTCTGTGAATGTTTAAATATGTCCTGGATTATCCTGATGATCGTTATCCTTGGCAGGTCCTGACACAACCACTTAACAAACACAACAGTGCTGCAACCCCGATGTGATTCGGCTGGCTAAAAAGTCAGGAAGGGGTCTAAACCCTATTCAAACCTGTACTCTATCAAACCCTTCTATTTTTGCACAGGATGTTCGATTCAGGACCTCAGATGTTCCATTCACCTGTAATCCAGTCACTTAAAACACGCTGCTGCATAAATTATTAGCTAATCAATAGATTTAGTACTTTTTAATGAAACTTCCTGATCAAAATTTTAGAAACTAGAGTGTTAAGCAGACAACTTGTAGCGATAATTCTACTTTTCAAGTCACATCATGTAGTAGAAATCAGAGCTAGCACCTGCCTTTATTTTGCTAGACTTTTTGTTTGATGTTTCACTGTGATGCGAACAGTTGTGCAAAACCACGTTTCACTGAGAGAAATGGGGCTGGGTAGTGGGAAGGGGTCGAACAGGTGGGGGTGATGTTGGGAAAAGTTTCAGCACCCGGCAGGGTGGGGACTGGAAAGAATGAAACGAGGAAGTTAGCGAAGGGGCAAAGGAAAGGTAAAAACAAGCCGATCCAGTTGGGTGTTAGGTTCCTAAAGTTTGTGTTTAAAGTCTTTTTATAACGTTAGAAACAAGTTGGTGTCAACTTCATATTTGTTCAAATGTTTTTAAATTATTGACCTAAATGTGACACCGGAAACATTAGACTGAAACTCAAAGTAGAACTTGATGTTTGGACACTTCTGCATTTAGCTGGGTTCTCCATTCATTACGCGCGTGTGTATTTAGCAATAGAACACCACTGGTGTGAGAGCTTCTCTGCTCAGCAATATCAGAGAGGGAGAAACAGCTGACTGCTACCACTTCAACTACCAGAGTCCCAAAATACAAACGCCATTTGAAGTCACAGACAACAAAATAAAACCACAACTGGTGTTTCCTCTAGCAATGTGCATTCCATCTGGTGGACGTGGAGGATGATAGTCGGCGGGAGTGGTGAGTGAGTGTTCTATGATAGTTTACGTTTAAAAGCTAGCTTGTTTTGTAGATTTGTCATTGCAGCTTCAATACTTTAACCATCTGTAGTCGGGTCACGGGGGCAGCAGCGTAAAGCCTAATTTATACTTCTCCATCAGCTTCACAAAGGAGAGACACGCACGGATGGAGACGTTTAGCTCTCGGACTTTCTCATCTCCTGGGGAGTGCTTCAAAGCAACTCCCCGCCAGGACAACAGAGGGCGTAGCGCTGTACTGTGGTATTCCTGTTATGTATCCCGTCCAAGGTAGTGCATTTACTATTGAGTTGATATTGTGGGTTTTTTTTTGTATATAACCCTCCCACTGTCCTAATGGGCGTGACCCTGCGAGGAAAGTTGACCATTGGTTTATCCCACGTGGCAGGGGTGAGGAGTGAGCACCACCTCACCCCTGCCACGTGGACCTCAAGGGATAAACCAGCAGTCCTGCTCAATGGTCAACTTAAAACAAATAGGAGACTTTTTAACACAAATTTGTCCTTCATCCTCCTCCACCTCTTCATGCACTCGCCAACTCTTAACCCATATTTCCCATCTCTTCCATCCACGAATAAAACGCTCACTGCGCATCTTTTCACTCTTCCAGTCACAGGGGAATAAAACATTCATATTTTTCGAGTTTTTCCGTGAGGTATTCTTTTAAGCTGCTCCGTGTCTGCCACTAGATATTCTCGGCTCTGTTTATATTTTTGAGGGTGCAATGGCGGTGCTGTGGATGACAGTGGTGTCCTGACCAATCCCAAGCTTGCGTTCTCCGTCTCGTGAAATAGATGTTTAGAAAACAGAGCTCGACTCCGTCCGTCCTTGCAAGGGTTCTCCAGCAGACTCGCAAGGATGGCCAGCTGAGAGACATAGGCTCTCCAGCGTGTCCTGGGTATTCCTTTAGGTCTTCTCCTGGTTGGAGGTGCCTGGAAAACCTCACCAGGGAGGCGTCCGGGAGGCATCCTACCCTAATGCCCGAGCCACCTCAACTGGCTCCTGTGGAGGAACAATGGGTCTACTCTGAGCCCCTCCTGGATGACCGAGCTTCTCACCCTATCTCTAAGGGAGAGCCCAGACACCCTATGGAGAAAACTCATTTCGGCCGCTTGTGTCCGTGATCTCGTTCTTTCGGTCACTACCCAAAGCTCGTGACCATAGGTGAGAGTAGGAACATAGAACGACCGGTAAATCAAGAGCTTTGCCTTCTGGCTTAGCTCTCTCTTCACCACGACAGATCAGTACAACGCCCGCATCAGTGCAGACGCAGCACCAATCCGCTTATCGATCTCACGCTCCAGCTTTCCCTCACTTGTGAACAAGACCCCAAGATAATTAAACTCCTCCACTTGAGGCAGGACCTCCTCCCTGACCTGGAGAAGGCATTCTACCCTTTTTCGACTCAAGACCGTGATCTCAGATTTAGAGGAGCTGATTCTCATCCCGGCTGCTTCACACTCTGCTGCGAACCGCTCCAGCGAGAGCCGGAGATCACGGAGAAAAACTCCCAGAAAAGTAAAGTGTCTTGTCGCTCAGTAGCAAGATGGTAAAGAGAAAAATTTGGTCGAAAATGAAAAAATAATTATGATAAAATTGTAATTTCACTTTAAATAAATAACGATATGATATTGCCTTATTGTTCGTCCCTATTTTTATCCTTTTCATACGCTGGCCTTGAAACGTCCACCTTGGTATGCAGTCTGTGGTCGAAACTCTTGAAAACAATAGGATTTATTTTATAAAATGGAAACATTTTATTTTAGAGAAACAGTAAAGCAATAAGAATATCCTCCAATATCCGTAAAGGAAACTATCAGGCTAACTTCCATCCATCCATTTTCGTAACCTGCTTTTTCCACGCAGGGGCGCGGGAGGCTGGTGCCCATCTCCAGCAGGTGGGGATTGCCCAGGGCAACACAAAGACACACAGGACAAACAACCGTGCACACACACTCAAACCTAAGTACAATTTAGAGAAAACCAATAAACCGATCATAATTTTGGACGGTGGGAGGAAGCCGGAGTACCTGGAGAGAACCCACGCATGCACAGGTAGAACATGCAAACTCCATGCAGAGAGACCCCAGGCCAGGCTGTGAACCATAGACTGTACATATACTGGACATACGGATTCCATTGGCTTCAATAACACGTTTGTTGTCTATAATGGGAGGTGGCCACCACCGCCATTTTGACCGTGTCACAGGTTCCGTCCAGCCCAGACAATTCCATAAAAGGGAAGAGAGGAGGTGCTGAGGGTGTGGCTGTAAGGCTGGGCTCGAGTGACGACACCCAGGCGAACTAGCTACGAGCTAACCTGAAGCTAACCCTGGCTAACCCAAAGCTAAAGCGGAGGTGGGAGCCGAGCTAACGGATGTAGCCACCTAGCTTCAACCCAACCGGAGCTAACTGGAACACCCATCGACCTGAACCTTACACGGAGTTTAGGTGGAGGTTTTCTGCGCCTGTTCGTGAGAAGTACCTGTATTAAAAAAGTTTTAAATCGGTAAGTTTATAATTTATTTCCGTAATGAAAACATTTTGCTTTGAGCAAGTTTTCAGTAGTTTTTTTCGGCGCTATCACTCCTGAGTCGCACCAGCCATTAAATGTATCATGAATAAGAGAAAATATATTTAAGTCGTATTTTGGGGGGACATTTTATTATCTTTCTTACAAAATCTGAGACCAAGCGTTTCACATTGCAACACAAGCACCGGTAACCATAACAGAATGAACAACAGCCAGCAGAGGAGAGGATGGCGGTGTTTCAAACCCTCCCGGCCGGCGAGGACAGCTCATTCCTGGGCTGGAGCCGGCCCTCAGCACCCCGCCACAGGCTCTAACAGATGCTGGCGGTGTTTGAAACCCTCCCAGCGGGACAGGGGGACTCATTCTTGTGTGGGTCGGAGTCGGCCCGCAGCAGCGCGGTGTAGCCTACATATTTTGTTATATAAGTCGCTCCGGAGTATAAGTAGCAGGACCAGCCAGAATATGTAAAAAAGTGCGAGTTATAGTCCGGAAAATATTGCAGTTATTAGTATTCGAGCTAAATTAGCAGCGTAAATACATTTCATATATTTCCAAAATGTTATACTTGTTTGTATCTTGTACAGCCAACTAGTCTTTATTCTGGACTCAGTACAATTTACCAAAAGTAAAGAGACATTCTACAGATGAAGTAAGCACAAGATAACTTACTGGAAGACACGGAATTATCATCAGAACCAGAGAGCCTGATAACAGTCGTGAAAATAACAGTTAAAAAGTATGTATGTATAATAGAAATAAAAATATATTAGAATTAGTGTAACTCACTGTGATCCAAACAATAAATCAGCCATAGCTGATTAGTAAATATGACATGAGGTCTGGGAGTTTTTAATTTTAATTTTTATTTTTTTGTTAGATCTGTTTAAATGTCACCATGGCAGCCTGTGTGTCTCCAACATCAGCTACACAAAGCGGCAAGTGTAAGTTCCACATACCTGTCTCACCACTTCATGTGTGGTTTTGTACTTTAAACAATTATGACAAACCTGTTATTTTTCCTCCATAGCCATTTGGATCATTGGAGACAGCTGAGTGAGGCGTGGTGCCCAGAGAGCTGCAGAGACAACCTTGGCCTCCCTGACGTCTGTGTCTCCTGGTTCGGTTGGGACGGACCATCGACATACATACATACATGTGCCGACACTTTGCGCCCTGTTTTATAAACTGTAGTGTTAAAAATAAATGTTTTTGCTCAATTACTGGAATTTCTTTGGTTAAGACAAAAGTGAGGAATAATCATTTACAAGTTATTTGTACAACAGGCCCATTTTAAATCCCAACAGTTTCTTAGCAGACAATAGAAATGTGTTCTTTACTAACTTTACTTGGTTTAAAAATCTTACTAAAATAGTGCCGTATTGCAAAACCCAATCATACTTGTTATGTATACATTAGCTTTGAAGATATTTTTTACCGATATATATTTGTGTGCAACAAATCCAAACTTAAATAATTTGTCATTCTTTATTGAAAAACAACAAAATACAGTTATACAGAAGTGTGGGAAAATGATAATGTGAAAGTATTGCTATTTAAATGTAATCCTATTTATCTTTAAAAAGAAAAACTCTAAAAATGTCCTGTACAGCATCATGACAGAAGAATGGTGGTCTGTCTGTCAGAATGTGCTGAACAGATTTGCTCTTTGAGGAGGAGTGTCATGTTTGGAGGAAGGTACTTAACCCAAGACATGCAGAATACAACACTGACCAAAAACTGATGGAAAAAATGATTTATAAGGAGGAACTTAAGGTGCACAGATAAGTCTGTGGTTGGAACTGCAACAACAGCTCAGCATCTGGAGGAGGGAGAACACAGGTGAGCTTAGGTTCTGGTTTCAAAATCCATTGTAGGCAGGCAGAGGTGTTCAGACTTACTGTGGTGGGTGTATGTGTTGGCTGGAGGAGAGAGAGGTAGAGAGCCGGGGGAAGTGCAGGAGAGGGAGCAGAGGTGGAGAGAAGCGGGGCGTCCTGGTGGATGGGGCACTGGGTGAGATGAGAGGTGGGTTATGGAGGCTGGTGATGAGGTCCGTGTGTTGAATATCCAAATCCTGGAGTAGAGGTCAGTATCCAATGAGGTCGACAGGAATCCTGAAGAATGGTAAATCCAATATAAGAGCAAAAACACTACGAAATAACATTAATCCTAGGAACACTAGAGGTAACACGAGTGGCTGGTTACTACCAAAACTGAGGCAATCTTCTGGCGTCAAATTGTGTCCTCCATCCACCTTAAATAGGAAAGCACCCCGCTGATCGCTGATCAGGAACGGCTGGGGTGGAGTCACCAGAACCATGAAGAACGTGTCTCCAGAGACAACTCGGGTCCTGGTACCGATCAGGAAAGCGGACCTTATCACCCAGAGCTGCCAGGTCACGCTCAAAGCCTTCATGTTCACGCTGCAGAGCCTGAACGCTGGCCAGGTGGTGGCCGTAGTTGTCTGTGTTCAGGGCCTGGTTCTTCTCCTCGATCCACTCTTTGGTCTCATCAGCGTCTCTGAGAAGACATCAGAACTCCGTCTGAGTGTGGGTCCAAACTCTACTGACCTGTAAGCGGCGCATAAGTGTGCGGGGTACCTGTGGAAGCGCTACACCTCATGGGCGCTGCCCAGCATGTTGCTCCGGTCTTCAGCCAGCTGTTGCAGCGAGCGCCAGCGGTTGTTCAGCTCCTGGAGAGAAACCAAACCCAGTGAGATGAAGGTGGACGCCAGCGGGCTGGACGCCGGACGAGGAAACCTGGAGACGGATCGCTCAGACAGGAAGGGAAGAGCTTCCTCTTACCTTGATGGAATTAAAGTTAGCCGTCGTCTGAACGCCCAACCGTACGGTCTGAGGTCAAAGGTCACAGGAAACACACACCAGTCAGCAGTCATACAGATGCATAAAGATAACTGTAGCCATGGCAACCGGCTGACATGTCCCCACTTTCACCAGCACCTGGTGCCTGCCGGGTCACCTGAATTCCTGTGTGATTTCAGCACGGTCGGCCGTGACTGCGGCCATCAGAGGTGACCTCTGATCAGCTGAATGAACTCACCTTCTAGGGTGACGCCGTGTTACCCCGGGTTTCCACGGGAGCCGTCAGCAGCACGTTACTGCAGCAGCACGTCTTGCTCGCGTAAGCTGCTGCTTGGCCCTTCCCACGAGACGCGAAGCAGCAGGGGAGCAGCTGTCACCGACCGAGCACGAAGTCACTCGAGTGACTTCGTCAGTAAACACAACAACAAGCAGGAGAAAATTACAACATGGTTTGTGTTTTATGTTCTGTCCGTTTTATAATCGCCAATACGGACCTGAAAAACAAAGGAGGCCGCTAGCTAGGTGATAACTTCTCACGGGGACGCACAGTTAGTAACTTTTTTTAAAAGTAAAGCAACCGGAAGGCAGTACGTTCTTTATTCTGAAAATCTCGGTAGCTTCTCTCAATTTCCGCGTCCGATTTCCTGTCTTTCCTTCCCCAAAAATGTCGAACTTGACCCGTTTCAGAGGCGTCGCGCGTAGAAAATAGAACCGGCGCGTAAAGGCCGCGACATGCTGCTCCTGAGACGTGGCCGACTCGCGCTGCTGACGGCTGCTGACGGCTCCGGTGGAAAAGGTTCTGTTGACCACAGCGGTTCCTATCAGCAGCTATGACGTGCTGCTGCAGTAACGTGCTGCTGACCACTCCTGTGGAAAGCCGGGGTTGGAGTCGGCTTCATCCTGTAAACAAACAAATGAGTGGTAACAAAAACACCACGTCTGGTTCTGGTGGAGGCGGAGGACAACACGCACCTTTCCAGGAGCAGAACCCAGATGTTCTTGTTGCTACAAACAGAGACGAGCAGAGTTAACAAACCAGGAAGTGAGAGGGACCAGCTGCTGCAGACAGGTGATGCTCACCTGAGCCTGAACCATAGGAGCCTCCTCAGCCATCAGACCTTCTGACTCCAGTTCACATGCCACCTTGTTGATGTCCCTCAGGCGGGACTCGTTGGCCTTCAGGTCCTGCAGGACAAAAGCACCTGCTGATTATCACCTGAGCTGATCTGACAGCTGCTGCTGGAAGACGGAGAGGAGGAAAAGTCCGACCTTCTGGAAGTCGTCAAACTTCTTCTGCAAGACCTCGACCTGCTCCAGGTCCGACCCGTCTCTCCATCCTCATTCAGCTAAAGACGCGAGTTCAAGTAAAACAACCTAAAGTCACACAAATACAAAGCAGGTGTGGAGATGTTCGCTCTGAGCTGGAGGTCGTTCCTCGGCTGTGAAGGGCACACAAACCTTGTGGGTGCTGTTGAGCAGCGTGAGGATGTCGCCCTTCTTCATGGTGACCTCTCCAGGACTCTTCTCCTGGTAGTCGTACAGAGCCAGAACCAGCTCCTTCCCGGTCTCATCGTCAGTTGGAGCCACTTGTTGCTGTTGGGTTAACAGGTCTGGTGTTAGAACGTGGTGGATAAGAATGTTCTGACGGGCCGAGGGTTCTGAACCAGCGAAGTGACCTGGACCCAAACAAAGTGAGCCAGAACCTGCAGACACCTCAGAAACATGTCAGGACCAGACCTGCTCTACCTTCCTCCATTATGGTCTCTCCTTT